CATTAGCACCTCTAGTAATATATTTACTGCGAAAAATGGTGACGTGTTCAATACTTATTTTACCTGCTGTAAATGGCTGCCATTAGTACCAAAACCCAGAGAGGTGATGTAACAAAATAATGTGCATGGCCAAGAATGCATTTTTGCAAAATGCAGCCACATTGCTTGCTAGCCACTTGAGACTGCAACAGAAAATGTGTGTACCGATATTTATTTTTTAATTTTTTCAATTTTGAGTAGAACTAGTCACAGCTCAGCRTGATGTCACTTTAACTAAAATGTACAAAAGATAAAACCTTACAGTTTGGCTCATAGGGAGGTGGAGGGTCTCCACATGGTATGCACTCCATATCTTGAAATCCACTTAATTTAGTCTTCCTGTAATATCTGTTGGAAGACACAAGATTGTGAGACAAATTTAAATTTAAGAGCGTTGTTTGTACCACTCGGGATCCGCCCTCTTACCCCGACAGGCAGTCCCCACACACAGCGTTGCTGGTGGTGGAGCAGTTGGCCTTCTGGATGCGGTTGATGAGTCCACAGTACAGGCAGGGCTTGCACTTCTGCAGGCTGCGGTCCTCTTTGAAGCGGCTGCTACGGCAAGGCACACACCGGGCATCCTCTCCATAACCAAAGCCACATTCCTGGAGGGATTAACAGGAAAAACACACCGAGTGAGAGGTGGGGTTGGTTGGTTTGGGGGCGATGCGCAGATGGAGAAAGGAGAGGGCTTGAATGTGAACTACTGGGGGTCTTGGAATTAAAGACTGATTCTGGCTCCTGGGATCAGAGGCAAACAATGGCCTACTTCTTTTGAGAGTCCATCTTACACTGGCAATAATCTCCCTGACTCCCTCCGAATGAATGAGTTGCCTTCCGCTGCAAGACCCCAGGAAGGCCACGCATTTGAATGATAAAGCCTGCAGGGGACACCCACTGTTGTATTATTGCAGGTTTATTGCTGCGTTTCAGAGCTACTCCCACTCCAAGCGGACGCGGAGAGCGTCCCGCTGATTGAGAGGCCAGCAAGCAAAGGAAACTCTTCAGGAAGAGGGCACAGGCTGTGGAGGAGGCAGTGGAGAAAACCTGATGAATACCATTTTGTGCTGCACAATTCAAAGTGTAGTTAAAAAGCCCGGCTTCCTGCAGATGTTGGAGTGATCTAATGCTCCTTTTCAATTAGCTCACCTAAACCCACATTTAAATTCTTTTATCTTTTGTTAGGAAAACATGAACTAAAYTAAATGGCCAGATGAAATGAAGAAATGCATTTCGCCCACCAACTTTACTGCCAGAGTTGAGAGCATTTTTTTCTTCCGTACGTTTTTCGGCATCTAACTTGTTCCACAATTTTTGTGCTATTTCAACAGTTCATATATGAAAACATTCAGCTCATTCATGTGAGGGGTGCTATGACTTTTGGTATTTCAGCTTTTTACACTTTTTTAGTTATTTCACTTTTTGCAGGAAATGCAATTTCTCTAGTTTAAGATTGTTTTCATGTTGGAAAATTATAGTTAGAGTGTTGTAAATATCTTTAAGGACAATACCTCTTAGCTCTCTAGTATGTGTAAAGGATGACTCTCAGCTACTACCACAACAAATTTTAGCTCAATAGCTTTACAATTAAATGAGTTGCAGCTAGTTTAGTGTTTTCTAAGGTTAGCTGGCTGTGGCATCCATCCTAAATTTGGTTAGATTTAAAAGTTCATTAGTTGTAAATGTAAATTTAACGTATAATTTCTGAAAGTTTAATCAAAATCCTTAATAATTCACCTCTAAAGGCTTGTAAATAAATTGAGCTCGATATTTTCATGATAGCTGATGCTTCGTCACGCGGGGTCGAACACCCCACGGGGGTGACATCATACTCTGACCATTTATCATCAGCTCCATGGCGGCTGAGCTTCAGTGATCCAGCTCTGCCACGCTGCAGTCTAAATCCTGGAGGACAGGTGGGAGCGGGGAGCTCGTTTTTCATTAAAAAGAAGGTCAGCTTCAAACAAGACTCCTCTCATCTCCTCTCTCTTCGCCYGTGTCCCGTTTCACGGCCTTGGCACGCAGTCCAGCTGGAATGTGGGCAGAAGATCCTGATACGTGGGAGGGAGTCCGGGCCGGCTTTAGGAGGAATCAAAAGGAAGGTTGGAGGCAATTATGCGATCCTGCGATGGCACCGCAAAGGAGATGAGGAATTTGGTCCTACCAGCCAAACACATGTGAGCCTGACACTGAAGCCTCCGGCAACGCCTGGCCAGGTGGCCCAGCTGGGCTCGGACTGCCGCAGCTGCTCCCACAAACTCACCGTATAAGGCCTCACTCTGCTGCGGGGAAGAGYGCAGAACAAGGAGGGAGCAGATAGGGGCGTCTGATGAGTGATGAAAGGGGGATTAAACCAGACTTAGGTGCCCACATTTGCGTGACATGATCGTGCTTTTCTGAAGACAGACAGTCGGATCGAGGCAGATTGAAAGTGACTCTTATGAAAGCTCTACAGGATTCTGCTCAGTGACCCAGTTCCACATGAGGGAAGAGGCCCCCGACAGGACCCAGCATTGGCACAGCTCTGTCCATGAGGCCCTGCTTGGCCGGGTGGGCTGGTACACACAAACAGGTTAGGGCACTGAAGCCAACTCCTGCTCCTCCTGTCCAAGCAGAAGCTTTGGCCAGTGGGCTGCGGCGGCCATCTTGAATTGGACAGACACTAGTAAAATTCAAGCAATGGACATAAAACACTTCCAAACACTTCTGTCCAAAGTTGTGAAGAGTTAAAAATGAGTCAAAAAGATACTGACGGGAGATGGACCCTCAGTTTCCATAAAGTACTTGGAGACCATCTGATCTCCCTGACAAGATGCTTCACATCCCGTTTCCCTGCCTGCCCTATCTCCTGATCTGGTCCGGGTGAAAGACTGCCAAGCAAAACAGCCGCATGGAAGGGAGCGAGGGGGCGAGTTGGCTGGGACCTGAAGCACGTTCAGATGGACAGATATTTCAAAGATTAGGAGGGAATCACATGGAGGAGGGGCAGGGGGGGAGCGGGTCATATGATCCTGCACTGAAACAAGACTGAAAACAACACATAGTCCTTAACACACTCAAACCTTCACTTGACTTTTATTCAAACAAATYAAACTTTTTTAGACTCATCCACCTGGGGTGTTGTGATTTTCTAACCAGAGGTTTCATGTTCTGCAACTGAAGGAAAATATTCAGAGTCATGGGTTCCTGACTTTTAATGCCCCTGCCTTATTTGTGGCCTCTGACAGATTTCCAGAAATACAAGACAAAGCCAGTGACCCTTCYTTCTGGACCATTGACAAAGTGTCTGCCTGTGAATAAAAACCTAGAATGAAACATTACAGGGAGAGAAAGAGTAACTGGTTTTAATGGACATTCCCTCAGAGTGGGTGGCTCGTTGAGCTACAGTTAGCGTGGCGGGGCTAATTGATGTTTGTCAGCCAGCTTCAGAGCAGCTTCCAGAGGCAAACTTCCAGAGCAAACTGGGCCACATTCCACGGAGATCTCTATGGCAGCTGCACAGAGGGACTCCGGGAGTCTGCTTCCCTCCCCGCCGCTCAACTCTGGCCTTTCCGAGGAAGTTCAGGTTACTCTCACATCTCAAATCACAAGTTGCGGGTCTGGGAAACTTTCTCCGGGGGTCTGGGCCCCGGTCTCCCCTTTGAGCCGGCGTCCCGCTACCTTCAGAGAAATAGTGAGGCAGCCAATTATTAACCAGGACCCCAGGGTGGCTAGCAGCTCTCATGCCTGTTGAGCTGGCAGAGGAACTGGAGAGCTACTGAAGCGTATTACTGAGCACACAGAGCATGTTTGTGTGCTCAGAGATTAAAGGCAACTGGGCTTAAATGCATGTGAGCAACAGATGTACGGGGGGCAGGAGGGGGGCATTAAGTTTTCTTTCTAAGCTTATTGATGGAGTGAAGTGTAAAACCACCTAAAGTGTTTTTTTTTAGCTGTGGCTAATCATGCTTTTAGTGCAGTGAACATGTTGCTGAGAAGGTAATCATGCAATGAATCTTAAATTATTGAAGTTGTGGTGATTTTTTTGTGTGTGTGAATACTGAGTACTGTATAAAATCTAATTAAATTTAATAAACAGTAGGTTACTGCATAAAGAGTTAACATCTGGTCTGTTGACGGCAGCTCTATTAATGATCTTATTTTGAAGAAATTGAGTTAATATCTAATCAGATTGGCAAACTAATGGCTTGCCTGAACATGACCAAGACCAAAGAGGAATTCTGCCAACCCTCTGATCTATAAACTTTTATAGTGTGAACACTGTTTTACAAACCTTCTCACTGCTATCAGTTTGAATGAATATTTACACAGTTTTCTGCAATTATTCTGCAAGAGGAAATAGCTGCTGCAGCAGCTGGCTGTAGCACTACCAGTGTAGCCTGAGGCACTTTTGGCCACTTTATTGTTGTATTTYTGTTGGGATAATCTCGTAATGTGAACCTGACAGCATGTGGAAAAGGGTTTTTATTTTAGTGGTGACTCAAAACCGCCAGAACATTTCAGCTGTTTGTAAACCAAGGAAGCAGCAAGTTGTACAGCTGCATTTTCCGCAGCCAGTTTTTAAAAAAAACAACAGCCTGTTTTCAAGTCCACAGCCTGCAAAACTCTACTCTACTCATTACTGCATTGCCCACCTCCGCCCATGCTGTACCCGCCTCGTCTTGCTTTGTAGCCATCTTGGCAGCTGCTTTTTATATTTATGGTTTAATCTACTGGAGAACACGTTAGAAATGAGAATAGGCAGATTTAAAACAGTTTTTTTTTCTGTTTTTATTTATCATTCATAAGTTTTTAGATGTAGAGGGTTTGGGTTGTATCCTCAAAGGTTTTCCTGCTCCACTGCAGACAGCTCTGGTGCTCTAGGGCAGTGATTCCCAAAGTTGGGGTCGGGACCCAAAGTGGGGTCCTGAAACATCAAGGTGGGGTCCTGAAAATATTTTCTAAATTAATTACATTTTTGCCTTAGTTGCTTAAAATGTATACACGTAGAATAATATTGTTACTATGCCCATGTTTAGTTGACCTGATACAAATGTTTATCATCCAAAAATAGTTGTGGGCACAGGTTTCTGCTACTGTTATTTTGTGGGTCAAAAGCTGAAAAGATTGGGAACCACTGCACTTCAGGGATCAATTTAAAGGGTAATAAAATAATTGGTGATGTAATATTTTCCCTATAATTATAACAAAAACACAAAATAAGTATAAATAAGTATTTATATTTGTGTAGCCTTTGATTTTAGGGTTATTAACAAAGTTCGTGTACTCAGACCTGTAATATTTGGGGTCACAAGTTTTTGCCATGGATATTTTGTGGGTCAGAAGATAAAAAGTTTGGGAACCACTGCTCTAGGGTTACAGAAGTTGAGGTTATAGGAACTGATGAGTTCTTAATGTCCTATGTTTGCTCATATCAAGGTTTAAAGTGAAACCCTTTGACTAACAAATCAAAAATGAGAAAAAAAATATARACATCTCAACATTTTGTCTTCTGCTGAATCGCTCTGCAACATAAAATGATTTTTTCCCCTCCTTTGCCACCAGTTAAATCATGTTTTATTGCCTTTACATCACTGCCTACACCTTCAAACGGTGGGTGTGGTTGCCTTTTTTGCTTACTGCTTTAACTGACTCAGGAGGCCTGTTTGTACAAAGCACACAAAAAACTGTGGCTAATGGGGGCGGAAAAAAAAAACTGTATTCCTTGTCGAGAGAGCACCAAGTTTAGGCACGGCTTGCTTCAGAGGGTGAAGACAATGAAGCAGGACGGGGAATGATGGGGAAAGACAATGGAAGCCATTCAGTTGCAGGAGGTCAAAAGCAAGGGTGTGACTGATTAAAGAAGGGTCCGCGTTCGACAGGAGCTAATAACGGTTTGGCTGCGCTCTGCGTGAACGACAGGAAGTAACGAATTATGCTTTTCTGTGTCCAGTCTTTTCATCCTTTCAACTACGTGTTCCCGACAACACAAAAAATAATCACAACTCAGTCTGCTTTACACATATTAAGCTAAAAATTGGTTTGGCGTAGTAGAGTGTGAAGTCAACTCTGTTAGCAAAATATCTCACAAACCAACGCATGTATCTTAATGAAACRTTCAGCAGATAAGCTGCAGATGTGTGTTTACGACTGATTTCGGAACCAATCCAGTTCAAGATGACTGCTACAGCCATCTGAAGAAGTCATAAAACAGCTGTAATTCTATCAGTTTTACAGATATTGTGCTAAAATTCAGAGCGGTAGTAGTTGAGAGTCATTCACAGCTGAGTGTGAGAGCCTGCAACATCACATGAGCTTGCCRATAATGTTTCTGTTTCTTCTTTTAAAGTTTTGACGTCTACAGCTGTCATATCACAAACTAAGTTGATATAGTTCAAAAGTGTGGCATGAAAGGCAGTTCATGCAAAAAAATGTCCACCTAACCAAGTTTTAAAATCTTAAATCCAGCCTAAAAGTCTTTTTGATCTTGTTTTGAGACTGATTTACTAAACAAGAACTGACTGTGTAAGAATAATAATCTTGTTTTCAGAATGTGTMAGATTATTTGTCTTGTTAGTCTGAAAATTTGACTCAAATTAAGTCAAAAATTTCTGCCAATGGAGTAAGAAAATTTTACTCGGTAAGATTCTTGAAATACTTGATTTGACTCAGTTTTTTCTTATTATTTCAAGAATCTTACCAAGTAAAATTTTCTTACTCCATTGGCAGAAAATTTTGACTTAATTTGAGTGAAATTTTCAGACTAACAAGACAAATAATCTTACATATTCTGAAAACAAGATGATTATTCTTACACAGTCAGTTCTTGTTTAGTAAATCAGTCTCAAAACAAGATCAAAAAGACTTTTCGGCTGATATAAGGTTTTAAAGCTTGGTTAAGTGGACAGTTTTAGCAGGTGGGTGAATAACACTGTGAGATGTTCCATCAGTTTTATGCTCCAACCTTAGACAGCTCCTGTCCTGCGTCACACTGTTTGCAGGGCTTGCAGCTCCCGAAGCGGTCCTTGTACTCCTGCTCTCTGCACTCTCTGCTCTCCTCCATGGCGTTCACGTGGACCTGAGGGTGACGGACATTCCATGAAAGTCAGGAGATTCCTGTGATTCATCAATACACCGTTTATCTGCAGCTCATTCCACAGCTGCTCATCACTGCGCTACAGGGAGTTTACCCTTTACCGTGGAAACCTCCTGAAAATAAGACATAAGGGGTGAGATGAGATCAAACTTTAATGAGCCCTGAAGACCAAAAACAGGGAGTCTGATTACAAATATAATCAGAAGAGGAGTAAGATGAGGCACATCAGAGAGTCTGCAGTGAAGGCTCGATCAGTTCCACCCCTCTGTCTAACACTAGGGGGTCAGGTGAAAAAGTTTGTGAAAATACCGTTTACGAAAGCTTTGCAAACTCAAGTTTATAGATTATTTCAGGAAATAACGCACGTCACGATGACACAGATCCCAGGACTCACCAGAGCTGAGCAGATGAGATGTGCAGCTAGRAGCAGGGCCAAGGTGTGCTGCAGTCTCCGAGGCATTCTGATGGTCCGCTCGTTGCTTCCAGCTGAAACAAAGACCGACACACCTGAGTGTGCACGCAGCTACCAGGTGAGCACGCTGAGTTGTCGGTGGCTGAAGGTTGGAACGAAATAACCAAATCCCATTTCATATTCTCTCCAGTAAATGCAGGCAAGATGGAGCTTGTTTAACATCTTCAAGCCCCAAAACCTGAAAGTGTCCCAGGTGTTTAAACTCGCAGCGTTTCTCTTCAGATACAGCGTTTTGTTTTTAAAGAAACCACATGAGTAAAAGGAAGTTTACAAAGGTAATTGATGCCAGTGAAAGTAATCACATGTTGTGTATAGGCAAATCATTTTCAGGACATAGGTTTTTRGGATGATCTCAAAACTGAGAAGAAGTTTGCACTGAACAGGTGAATAAACTGATCAATATGCATTATTTTCCTGTGCCACACCTGAAAACAATGAGCTTTAAAATCTCTTTCAAATGCAGTTTTTTTTCCCCTTTTCTATTKTTGACTGAAAATTCAAACCCTGGGCTCAATGAAAAATCATCATGAGGAGCAGATTTCAAAGTCACAGGACGTTTTTATGGAGAAAAAAAAGATGCTGCTCATCCATTTGAGCCATTAAGTTGATTTGCAATGTTTTTTCTTGTGTTTAGCAATAAAACATGGCAACATCCATATTCACAAACCAACTACTCTGATATAAAGTACGATTATATTTACATTTTCAACAAGGGAGTGTACGTTAAATACTTTCTATCATTTGTCTATGACGTCAAACAGCCTCCACACTTTGAAGTGAAAGCTTCAAATGTTTACAATGTTCACAAATAGCAAAGAAACTCAAGTCCCTCGCGCTCTAATGTCATAGGCTATAGGTTGTGTGAATGTTCAAACTCAAATACAAAAGCTTTTCTTACCTGGTTAAAATAAAGAAAAAAAGGGAGCGCGTGGAGTAAAGTCGGTGAGAGGTGTGGCGGCGGGTCCGCTCACCGTGTCAGTGTGAGCCCGCACAGCCCAGCTCTGAGCCCCGAGCCGCCGCAGCTGCAGCTCCAACAACAGACCCAGCGTCCGACATCAAAGGCGGAGACCGGGGGCTGGCTTTCTGATCTGAAGCGCGTGCAGCTGATCCGCGATCAGCCAGGCTACATCAAAGAGCCCGCTCTCACGCGCACAACACACACACACACACACACACACACACACACACACACACACACACANCACACACACACACACACACACACACACACACACACACACACACACACACACACAGAGCAGAGCGCTCTGTTTTACCCAGTGATCAGCAGCAGAGCTTTAATTTAACTGGTTTTTAAGAGTGTTTAAATGAAAAGATTAACTTTAACCATTGTGTGTCTTGGTGGAACTCCATTTTAGTGGAATGCATGTCGCCCGCTGCCCAATATAGTTTTATGTTGGAAAATGAAGGCATTGTAGCTGTTTTAGATTGTAGCTTAAATCAGATTTGCATCCAAAGATCAGACTGTGCAAGTTTGATTAAAATTTGTTCACTGGTTTAAGAAATATTTTGGTGCATAGGCAAAAACATTAGTCTGCCTGTTGTTCGCCTATATATTGTGGGAATAACTGTTATTTCTAGTGTGCCAGGTCAGTTCTCACACTTTGAATTGGCCCTATCATAATGTTTTTGCTCACTCATCGTGTCACTCTTGCTTTTTGCTGTCTGAGTGTGTTAAATGATTTCGAGGCTCCCATTTCTACAGATGTTAATGTTGTGTGAATAACCCAATAATGACAAGATGATAGTTCGATATCAACTTCCCAAATTTGTTTTTATAGCTAGAAAAGACACCATGCTTTTATTGTGAAAATACAACATAGCTTATCTGGTTAAATACAGCATTCTAAGTTTGTTTAAAAAAACATAAGCAAACTATAGGTAGTGATTGAAATAGCATGGCACAATATCCATATACTGTTTGTGTTTACTACTTGTACACCTTTTTCCTCAGGACTCTAAAAATATTGCAAGACAATCTGACTGCTTGGAAGCAAATAGTAGAGGTTATTGTAGCTATGTTACACTTAAGTTTTTTAAAACTAATGATTCTGTTAAAGTTCAACAAGCCCTCTAGTTTTGTTAACACATCATTGTTAATTTATAAATGCATGCAGGGCAACTAATCTGTTAAAGATCCTGACACTAAATAAGTTAATGACCACCTGTGGTGTGTGTGTGTGTGTGTGTGTGTGTGTGTGTGTGTGTGTGTGTGTGTAGGCGTGTCTTTCTGTGTGTGTGTTTGATCCAAGGCAAAGACACAAAGGACAAAAGTTCAGCACTCCAGTAAAGTGGCCAGTTTACCGTACAAGTCTGGACATGTCGATGCCTGAAAAAAAAATAGATTTTACTATATAAATATGATAACTTGTGTTTTAACTTACTGTTGAACGTATATTGCAGTTATTTAGCTTATGCTATTGATCAAGGGAGTACTGCCTTATACATTGGGTGAAGTGAGTTGAAGTTTGTGTTAAAATAATTTACTTTAATCCTGTCACAAAATTATTAATTTATAGTTTTACATATTATCTGTCTCAATAAAAAAATAAAGCAATAATGTTTACATTGAAATTCATATTTGTGGGCGTAAAGTGTGTGAAACAGTGTCATCTAGAGGCGATATTTGGTACTGCAGTAAAATGTTTGCCTGCACATCTTTGCTTTTGTCGCCATCTACCGGTGGAAGGCAATTATTTTAGCTGTTGAGAATATTTTCTGTTACAAGAATTTTTATTATTGGTACATTTTCTCCACAAAGTATTATATGAAAATGTATGAATCAAGATGATTAAATGTAAAAAAAAAAAAAGTCCAATTTAAACTGTAACTGTGTCCATTTTCTGCTGAAAGAATGAGCATATGCGCTCAGCTTTTGGYTGAACACCCGCAGTGTTGAACTGTTTAAATGTGTCCTCGGCTCTTGTGTCGAMCTTGACTGGGATGGGTGAAGAGTTCAGATGAGGTACCGAGCTGCTCATGYGATCAGAAGGAAGCTGGGCTCTCCTCTGCAGAACCGGAAGCTGCAGCAGGATGCTGAGCAGCTGATGCTGCTGACCTGAGTATCCCCCCCATCTCATCCGACAATGCGGCAGCAAGATGCGTGCGATGTGCGTGGGACACCAAAGGATGTAACATAGATCAGGATACACGCTGCATGTGACATTTATAACAGGAGAAATAACTACATCAGAGAGCAGGGAGGTCTCTCGGGCTGAATAAACTGGAAACGTGGTGAGTTTGATGTATTTTCACTCAGTGCTGTGTCACTACGCAGCATTTAGATAAGCACATTTGTTTAAAAATGAAATTATGAAAAGTGGAAGTGTGTCCTTGGGTGTACACCGTCACTTTCAGCATCCGGGTTTGGACTAATTTAAGGTGGGAGCTCCTTGACTTTCATGTGATGATGTCACTTTCCTGCTGAAGGTTTTATAAAATAAAATAAAAAAGAAGAAGCAAAAAAAATCACATCTTTTAAGCATTTATTTTAGGTAAAATAAATGCTTATAGAAATGTGTCTGCATGGGGGGTAGGCTTGTCTTTTAGCCTTTGAATTTAGAGAAAGAGTTGATGGACGCATTTTAACTGCAGTGGCGTTCAAGCCGTTTGACTATAGCCCTTCAGATTTTGGAATATCAATTGTGAAACGCTTTCATCTTAACCCAGATTATTTAAATATGATGTTTTTGCGGTAAATGGTATTATTCTAATATTTGAAGCTAAATGTTTTTTTACAGTTGGCTATGATGTTTTAGATGTTTGTTTAAATAATATTAAGTTCACAAATTTGTTTTTATCAGACAAGATCTTTTTTTTTTTTTTGGAGAGAACCAATATCTAGACTGACAATTTATACTTTACTTTTAATCCTAAGGGATCTCAGAAAGAGCATGAAACCGCAGATTCGCTGATGCGCGTGCGCAGACACAATCGCGCTAGCGGGTACGTTTTAAAGTGAATTAGGCCTTTTGCATAATATATATACTGTTTGAGGTTTAAATAAAATACACATGCTGCATTACAGTTTAGGTAAAATACAGTGGTGGGCTCTCAGCCGACCTACAGACATTTTTAGCTTTGACCATTCGGTCTGACGGGATTTAAGACGACCCGGAAKTTACCGGCAGGGAGTTCTCTTGCTCCCATCGCCGCTGCGTCTGCTCTCCTAACGCGCACTGTGATTCATTATTATTAGAACATGGCCTTTGAAGGAGYTGCGCTGTTGTTGGAGATAAAATAACCATGTCCCCTGCCATTGTTGTTTCCGCTGTTGTTTCGGAGAACTCGGGCTGTAGTGAAATGTGTCARTTCTTTGGAAGGAGGACCGTTAACCGAGCGCAGAGGACAGACATAAGTGAGTGCTGTTTGCTGAGATAAACCGGTCTAAACACAGCGCCGTGCACCAGCTGACAAGTCTGCTACCCGCTGTCAGAACAGCGTGTTGTTTTCTTTATATGTTTTTAAATATCAAATGTATATCCATAGAGCACTGGTGCACATGTATTCCACTTTGTTGAGCCGAAGGGACAGCTTAAATCGAAGTAAAAGAGATGTCTTGTCTTGTCACAGCCATTTTCCCGGTGCGGTGTCCCTGCGCTCGGTGGGGAAGATAGTCCAATGAAAGTGTCTTTGCTGGGACTCAAAGCAGCGACGACATGGCAAACTGTCCGGACCCGTGGTGAGTTTACTGTCTTCTGTAAAACATTCCTGACAACACTGATCTTATGGAGACATTCTGCTGGTTGCAGCATCCAGGCAGCCCACAGCTGAACCAATCAACAAAGTGACTATTTGCACGTCAAGGGGTGAATATTTAGGCCTGATGTGGTTTAATGTGCTGAGGACCATTACAGCCATCCTCTGCAGGAGGAGATGCTACCACACCCGCCCTGCTCCACTGACTGCACCACTCTGGTTCAGCTCCTTGTTGCTGAATAAGCAAGACATGGTTTGATTGTTGTTACATAAACCATCTTTACATMATTTTTAATAGAGAATCTGCAAATGGGAATTCCCTTAGAGAGACCTTATATGCATTAAAAGCCCCTTGTGAGCTTTACACACTCATGTTTCTTCCAGCCTAAAGGTCGGATCAATGATTGTAAGCATATCCTCTACATTATGGATCAAATGGGACACTTCCTCATCCCTGGTTAACTGTAGCTTACAGTTTTGTTCAAGGACTGTAACCCTATATATAAAAAGTTAATGTTATTTATTTTAAGTTTTGGTCCATTTTTTTCTAGGTTCCCGCGGGTGACGGTTCGTCATGAGTGCATTGGCCAGAGGTCCTACCAAGTGTCGCCCTTCACATCTGTCCAGGATGTCAAACAGCTGCTCTACGAGGAGACAAACCTGCCCGTGGAAGAGCAACGACTGCTTCACAATGGGAGGATGGTGAGTGTGTTTTGTTTGTCCAAAGCGCAGTGTGAACATCTTCAGAGCCTCCCACGCGTTCTTAAATAATCTTTCCAAACTTCTTGGTTACTGTGTTTCTTTGTTGAATTAAATGTTGGGATTGATTGTGATTTGGTTGTGTCTTCTCAAGTAAAATCTGAGGTTTTCCACCCTGATGGATGTTTCTGAAACGTTCTGTTTTCTCGTTGCAACGGCAAACAATGCTTTCATTGTTTGAAGAGTCTCAAGACTTCCCCAAGGTTTAACTTAATGWTTCTATTAGCGGGTTATTAAGTTGCTCCGGTTCGTTGACTTCAGCATGGCTAAAATCAGTGCGTAGTTTGTTTTACTGGTATGTTATAGCTGTTTAAATGATATATTATTTAAAAAAAGCCTTGGGTTTTCATTTATAAATGTTACACTGTCGACACTGAAATGTGTTTAAAGTCTTTTTTATATAGTTCCTGGTTTAGTCTTGTTGATTTAATCAATTTTTCACTATTTATTTTTTGAATGTATATATACCCGGCGTGATTCTCTTGGGGTGGCAGCTCACTTAGTGATCATTCTGATATAACAGCAGCTGACCCCGGTGTCTCAGCTTCACTGATGGAAAGCACCAGGTGGTAGCCTCCCCCCGCTGCCTCCCCCTCCTGATCTCATTTTCAAAAATTAGCTTCAAACCCCTCCTACCAGCTATGAACAGATGTGCTTTCAGGGYGGTTTTATCTAAAATTAATATATGTCTTAAGCTGTGTCCTAGCTGATGGTGAGCTCTTGTATGAAACATTTCTTAGAACACAGTAATGAGGTTATTCCTATTGTGCTGTAAAAATAGCTAGCTGTGCCCTTCTGGATGACGCAATTAATAACGAGGTTCTGGTGGAGGGAAATGGACCAGACAATGTACTTAACTGAGCAGTGCTAATAGTTGTTTAAAAGTAAAGTGAAAAGAGGGCATTTTTGTTTCGATTGGCCATACTGTGGACCATTTCAATAAAAACAACAAACATCAACTGATGTAAGCCAATTGCTAAAAACCCATCTTGAATAATTACAGCAGTATAGATACCTTAGAAAGACCTTACATGGATGAATTTAAAATATATTAGCAATATAAAAGGTGCAATAATACAGCCAGTTCACCTGTCATTTTAATAAATAGACACATATTTCTCAACTGTTTGAGCCTCTTCTAGTTGATTTGCATGCTTAATTTAACAATCATTGCTTTAATTATGGATTCATTGATAACACATGAGGCAATGCACCCATGTAAATGGTAAATTAATTGTACTTTATAACACGATCTTTGCCCCATTTTACCCATCCACACATACAGCATTTCACCACATCTCTACAAAACTAATGTGTATTAATCATAGAGAGTTTAATCAGTGCTTCAGATCACATTCAWACATCGATKAGGCACAATGGAATGAGGGGTTCAGTGTTTTGTCCAGAGACTGCTTCCTAGTGGACTCAAACCTCTGGCCCCCTCATTTGAGGACAAGTGCTCTAACCACTGATCCACAGCCAGTGATATGAAGTAATAATCTGATTCTGAAGGCCTTTATCATGGATGGCGTTGTAATGGTTTCACACRACTGAGCTTTTCGTTCTGCACAGCTCAGCTCACCGTGCAGCGTGTTCGCGGTGAAAGAGTGCTGAGTGCAGCGAGATGCAGAGTCACCTTGAACGACTCCCACAGCATCATCAGACCTGGTGCCGACTCTGACTCACCACTGCATCGATTTCTGAAACCCTATCACCCTCCGGTGGAGCAATAATTCACCCCGATTGATTTAACAGAGACTATTAATGCAGGAATTTTGTTGTTAAAGAACAACTGCACTCTGGTTTACTGTTTTAATTACAATTACACCTAAAGTTAGTTTTATAGGGGTTTTGAATAGCACAGATAAGGGTTTTATTATTCTCTTCTCACTCTTTTCCACTAAAGTTAGTTTACAACTGGTTTATATTTTCCACACGTAGTGAAACAGATTGCACACAACAGATTTTTGTTTCAGCACAATATTTGCATCATCTTTATGTGAGGATTTTCTCTGTCTTTACATCCATCTGCCATAGCTGGAAGACAGTGTGCAGATTGGCTCCTTGGTGCCTGCAGGGAGTCCAGAAGTATCTGTCAGGCTTGAGGGAAGAGGCCTAAAAGGAGGAGGTAAATGTAAAATATTTGCATCTTTGCAATAATAAACCATGTATTGTTTCAGGAAATCTTACCAGYATGTCTGTTACAGGGAGGTTTGGACAGACTACCCCCCCACTGGTGGAGTTCTTGAAGGATATTTTGAGAAGGTACCCTGAAGGTGGACAGATTCTGAAAGTAAGTGTCTTGTTTTGTGTATTTCTCCTAGTTTTAGTTGACTGAATATTCAGCGTGTAAATGTTAGAGAGAATGAATGTTTGACATTTTCTGACAGCTTTTCAGAAACATTTCAAAAAAGTTCATTTTATCGTATAGTAACTTTAAACAATGTCCTACCTCCAAGCAGGCAGACTTTCTGGTGTTTTTAACCCTCATGCAGGGGCACTGCCAATGGGTTGGACAGGGAGTACAATGGCCAATTTAAAACTTGGTGGTCCCCRCACTGGCTTCCTTAGGCCAGGTAGTTTTATCCTTTATGTCCCGAGTTTTTGCTTGTTTTGTTAATTTCACCCAGCCACTACCCTTGTGCCTTCCTAATTAATAATAGTAATAATTTTGAGGAGGCTGAACTCAAAAGTGTTGAAGTGCAGAGCTATGTCGATCTATGTCATGCACATGACAGTTGCATGCTCAAGTTGGATGTGAAATATACAAGTGGAAGTAAATTAGTTTGGAATATACAAATATTTAGCTTTAAAACTACCAAGCTGTCAACATGGGTGGGATCATTAAGATAATTGGAATGAAATTTTAACTGGTAATGGGACGGCTGTGACTGTGGTAGAGCAGCCGACTTGGGATCAGAATGTCGCATGTTAAATTTCCTGCTGTGCCCATGTGTCGTGGTTTCCTTGAGCAAGACACCTACTGCTTAACTGGCTGCTTACAGAGCTGCTCATGGCTCCATTTTGGTTTGGCTCACATGTGATGAGTCGAATGCAGAGCACAAAGTTGGTCATTGTATGACAGAGATGTCAGGTAATGAAGTACAAATACTTTGTTACTTTACTTAAGCAGACATTTTTGTTATTTATACTCATAGACTTGAATAACAACACCAGACTGAGCCCCGCCCATCCTGTCCACTGGTAGCGTCTGTGACAGCATGAAGGAGCAGAAACGGAGACTAAACAGGGCAACGGCTCACAGCCTCCATAGAAACTAATAGATAAACAGCAGCTGAACCGGATCTGTTTCACAGATTATCTGTCATGTTTTTACAATAATTTAATAATTATGTTC